GGGGGGGGGCCAGGCAGGGGAGACACATTTACCTGCTGGCGGAGGGGAGGCACCTTGGGCCTTCTTTTTCTCTCGCCCTTTCGCCGGGCCTGCGGACATCGGATCGCCTTTGCTCGGCGGGCGGCCCCCGGTCGCGGGATGATAGGAAGTTGCGGCGCACATCCGGGGCGCCCTGCACTAAAAGGGGTCTCGATTGGGGTAACCCAGCACACCGGGTGCGAGGGGCAGAATGATCTCCCCCCTCCTTCTTGTCTCCCCCCCCCCCCCCTAGCGTTGGTCTTTTCTCTTCGGGCTTCCCTGCGTACTTCTCACTTTCTCCCTCCTGTGTGCTTTTCCCCTCGTCCCCTTGTCCCTTCGCCCCCTGTTCCTCTCTCCTTCGCCGCGTCTCCCCATCTTGCTTGCATTTTCGAACGGAAAGCCGGGGATACATCCCACGCGTGCGGGTGTTTGCTCAAGCGCCCTGTGCCTGAGGTAACAAACGAGAAGCATGCTCAGCGCGCTGGCCAGCCTCCCGGGAACGGTGGTGCTCTTGCTGCTGGGCTATACCGTCCATGCCTGGGGCTTCCTGTCGCAGGTCCTCCTCACGGTGCTGCCCCATTCGGCCGAGTCGGTCCTGGCCGCCATAGTGCCGGTGCTGGTACGTGAGCCGACATATTGCCGGCCTGTGTGCTGCCCCTTGCGACTGTTGCCCGGAGGGGCCCGTTCCATGGCTAACCCGCCGGGCGCCGAGCGGTCGACTTTCCGGCACACACACACACACACACACACACGCACACGCACACGCACACGCACACGCGCACATCGCAGCACCGGGCGCGCCAAGCGGCGGCCTTCCTCATCATGCCGGATGTGCGCACTGCCCTCGGGCCGGAAAGGCTGCTCCTGGGGACGCTCTTTCCCCCGACGGCTCTGGTGCAGGCACCGGCGGCCGACCTGGCCCGGGTGAAGGGGCTGGGTTTTCGGCCGCAGCCCGGCGTGGCGGCCCTGGCCGACACCCTGCTGATGGCCCTGCCCCTGGAGGAGGGGCCCGTGGTGGCGGTGGTGTGCACCGCGCATCGGACCCCGCGAGCGCTGGTGGTCCACCTGGCCGAGCTGGTCGGGGCCATTGGCGGCCGGCGCCCGCCGCGGCTCTTCCTCCTGGAGCTGGACCCCCTGTCGACGGCGGTCACCGGGTACCTGCTGGCGCGGCTGGGCCTGGCCGGGCGGGTGGTGGTGCTGACCGGGCCGTTGGAGGGGTCGCTGTTGCGCATGCAGGCCGAGCACGGGGTCAGCAGCATCGACCTGCTCCTGCTGCCGGGCATGTGTGATGCCGCCCTGGCGGACATGGATGTGCTCTTTGCCCGGCCGGCTGGCGACTCGCCGGTGCACGACCTGGCCCTGTTGAATGGGTGCGAGTGTGTGGCCTGCCAGCCGTGCGGGCGCTGTGCCGATGTGGTGGGCCCGTCGCTGGCCCGCCTGATTGGGCACTTCCCGCTGCTGGGGTTCCTCTGCCCGCACCGGGGCTCCCCCGGGCCCGGGGGGCAGGCCGCCGGCCGGCCGGGCGAGGCCAGTTCGGCGGACACCCGGTCCGGCGTCGCCACCAGCGCGGCCGCGCGCGATCCCGCCCTCACGGACGCCATCCTGCAGAACCTTTTCCAGGTAATAGCCTCCGGGCTGATGAAGGTACCTGGGCCGCTCCGTGGCCGATGGCCCCCCCCCCCCCCCCCCCCCCCCC